TTATACTAGTCACTAGTTTATTCAATGCAGTACGAATTTGGCCTTAGCCTTGGCCCTCGGCATCAGAATTTTTAAGTGAAGAGGGCGACGATTCGTTAGAATTGTTGTGGATTGAGAAACACTGGATTAGGGGCACGAAACACACATTAACTGTGTACTAACTTTTGGTGAAGATCGAAAGTCACGTTATTTCAATTAAAATCTTTTCTTCCAAAAACAATTAATAAATGACCGGCACAACTCCATTCTCAAAGGAAAAGTATAATGTATAGAGGCAAGCCAATATTAATTTGAAATGAAGAGCATATGTTTTAAATTAAATACATTGAAAATGCGATTAAAATTGCAGCCCGGCATTGTAACGATGCCATAATAAATAATTGCTCGTTTCATTTAAATCTAAATCATATAAATTCGACTTTTCTCTGTTGTAAGATTCTCATCAATCGAATTGACAGTTTTAAATCTGTCAACTAACTTAAATCTAATTGATATTATTAAATTCTTTTTAAATCTTATTCATTATACAGAACGTATTCGCAAAGTTTTTCAAACGTTATTATTTCCATTTATATGAATATGAATTTATGGCTTACGAATTATTCTTATCACTATAAATAAACTTTCATAGTGTTAAAAGTATTAAACCTCTTACCTCTTTCGATTTTATAACCAGAATGACTCCAAATAGAAAATCCGTCTGTTTTGTTTGTGAAAATTGGTTCTCTTTTAATATTTATCTGAAATAAGAAAATATTACGTTGTATTATTTGATAGATTGATCTCTATAGACAGACAAATGAAAAACATTATATAAACTGGAGCATACAAATATGCTTACTAAATCATTTTTTTAAAATATGGCCTACTATCTTCTTTTCTTTTAATTGTAGTCCCTATCATCTATTTAACAGCTTACAGAGGAAAATTTTGAATTTAAACAACGTGACTTCTGATTTGCAGCATATATACCTATACAGTTTATCGGAGCCTCTTGCCCTATTAAATGAATCTGATATTATTTGAATATGTAAAGAATAGTTGATTAAGAATCAGGCTGCAATTTGATAAATTCCCACTTTTCCCAGTCTGTATGACTGTTTCACAGTCCTTTCTTAATCTCGACAACAGTTAGATAGCTGAAAGCCGAGACCAGATGTGCTTAGAGGCACGAGATCCCGATTAACTATACAAGAACTTCCGATGCAAATCAAAAGTCACGTTATTTCAATTCACAAAGGTTACTCTAAAAGAAGTTAGATACGTAAACGTCATGACTCTATTACTAACAGGAAAAGTATAATGTACAGGGGCAACCACTACTAATTTCAAAGGAAAAGCACATATTTTAAATAAAATAAAAATAAATTGTAGTCCGGCATTATGAGGATGCCACAATAAATATCTTCTCGTTGATTGTCTTTTCTTTTTTGAACTTCTCTTATTTTCGGATCTTTTAATGCATGTAACAAGCGAAAGTATGAATATCGTGTCAAATTTCATCTTCAGCTTTCGGAAACGTTTGTCCATGTTTTAAAACTTCCTTGACCCGAAAACATGTTTAAAATATGAAAAATTTACTTGTTATTACAAATTACAATGTTATAAATATACAATTTATCTTCAATCTGAAAATTAAGCTTTTTGCCATTTTGTAACAACTAATAATATAAACAGGTTTTTGAATAAAATTTCCTAACAGATGGTGCCACACACAATTTTAAATTTTTTTGCCGGAAAAGTTACGCAACTCGTTTCTGGATTGTTTCGATTAGAGATAACTTCAGATTTTTTATTTTCTGATAATCAATCTCTCGATCACCGTCAATCTCCAAAGGATTTGATCGAAAATGGAAGAGATCGCACAGAATACATTTTAACTTCGCACAGCTTAAATATCATTGATTTTACAAATATAATACACTAAACTCAAATTACACATACCTGAAATATAAATTTATAGATACAAAAGTAGATACCTTCAAAATATTATGCAGAATTAAGCATGAAATGAAGCAATATCAGCAACTACCAATAAAACTACAAAATTTATCTGAATAACGCGTAACTTGTCTAAGCAAAAGTATAGTTACTGTACAGTTATAGTTACTGATCCCGACATAATAAAAAATTTATCAAAGAGTTGCGTTACTTTCCCGGCTGTTATGAGATTTTATTTTGAAAATTACTTTTTAATTATTAAGCATAATAAATATATAAAATCATATGTATGGCCAACTGTTAAGAGTTTCTGTTAAAACAATTTATATATTTTTAATTATTATAAAATAGCAAAAGACTTAATAGACAAGTTTCTAAAACATTATAAAGGGCAACAAGTAAAATCTTCATTAAGTCCGAACTCTCGAGGTATATTATACGTGACCAGTGGCGAGCCGTCTATAAAAGCTGTGGAAGCGCCGCTTTCCTTGTATTTTCTAAAATATAAATACATTTTGTGCGATTATATCCATATTTTAACGTATTGCAAATTTCCATACTACTGTGAAAAACAATGATAAGATTCGAATATAAATTCGTATATGCCTATTCTCAATGGAAGCGCCGCATTGTCGAATACGGAACAGCTTCAACAAAGAAAGTATTTGAATGGCATAAAGCAGCCAGATTACAGGCATTCGCGCCAGATCACAGGCATATATTTTAGCATTTCAGTTGTTTTTCTCGTCCTTAAAGCAACACTACGATCTTAGAAAATAGTATTTTTCACTCACCTCTAAAGGTTCTGATTTAATTGTTTTAGAACACTTCACATCTGTGTTAAATTCTTTCTTGAAATTTTTAAAATCAACTTTAAATTTTTCGTCGTTTTGTTCAATTGTGAAGTCCGAATATTTCGTTTCTAACTCTTCTTTTATCTTCATTTTTTCATTTACGATATTCTCGTATGTCAACGATCTGTATTCAATCAAAGAATTAATTATAGTTAGTTAACAAATGTTCATTCGAAATTTAGAGCAAAGACGAGTAAAGTCATGATTATTGTTCCCGTTGTAAGTTGTAACAGTAAACAAAGGGATGACCTCTCAAGGTTAACGGAAGAAATTCCAGTGGTAACATGTCAACAGCACACGTGGTACTTACAGCTATAAAATCACTTATACCGTTAATAGTCAAGAATTTTTAAATTGAAGTTTAAAATTCATTTTTAATAACATAAACACCACAGTTGAATGAAATATTAATAAAAACGTATTAAAATTTATGATAATAATTCAACTTTTGTGCGCTATTGATACTTTGGGGTTCTGGGCTTGAGTCCTATTAATCCCCATGTAGATTTGCCACTGACTACGAAGCCCGATAGTTCAACGTTAACTCACTTATAATTAAAAGAAAAAAATTTAAATAAAAATAAAATAAAAAGCAGGTAATTTTATAACATAAATGAATAAAACTAGTAAAAAATATGTAAATGAATATAAATTTGATTATCTTTTGCGCGAAACAACACTAAAATCATTTTTAATAGTTATGTAGAAAGAAACGACAGTTGCAATTAATTAAAAATAGTATAATTAATGCAGAAAATTCAATACAAAATTAATATTACGTGATGATCAAAAATTCATAATTTACTTTTAACAACAGTTCGTTATTGTTCGGTATTCCTCCCTATTTTTGTAAAACATACGAAATTGGAGGAAAAATTACCTTTTCTGTTAATGTACACCAACGCTCCCTAACCAATCTTTCCTAGTGTAAGAAAGACTGAAAATGTTTTTAAAAAAAAACTTTTTTTATGAAATTCACACTTTTAGTCTCCAAATCTAAAAATCGTTGTTCCTTCACACCCGTTTTAAAACAGTTAAGAAAATGATTGTCAATGACCTCATTCTTTGCCTACGTTTACCGTAGGCAAATACTCTAGCTCTAGTCTCCCCTGTCGTCCACTTGTTTTCAACTCTTAGATTAATTATCCACCCATGGGGGGCGTCGCGCCCACTTTGAGAACCGCTGCGCTAAACAGTCTAACTTCCGAGTAGAAATCTTGTTTCGACAGTTCTAATTGCAGGAGTTCGGCGCTTAAAAATGAGGTCACCTCACACAGGATAGTTCCCTGGATTCTGCCACTTAAAACTTATTGTCTGTGTGAAAGAAAGACATACCTCCGACGCACATAAAAAAAAAAAAACGAAGAAAAATTCGAAGACGAGGAGAAATATCTCCGATTTACATAATAATTGCGTAAACATTACAGGTATATTAAATTTAAGTTATTCTGTGAACTGTCTCTCACTCTCTCCCTCTATCTCCATTCTAAAGGGAAATTCGATAGAAGGATAAACCAGCAACCAGTAACTCAAATCTCCCGGCAACAATTGAATTTTGCTAGCGCCCTCTGTTATAATATTTAATTTTTAAAATATTATATAACGGAAAACCTTAATTTTAAGGGTAGAGACGAGTTTTATAAAAACTTACAAATTCTAGTAACGAGTCGAATTAGTCATTAAGTTTGCCATGACGCGTTTCTATCAGCCAATAACGGTTCATCTGGTAGTCACGTGAGAAAATACAATCACGTGGTATTTAATAGCAGAAAGAACGATGCGGTAACAAAGATAACGGACATTAGACTAAACAAAAAACAATAATAACTTTTTACACAAATAATCACATATAATTTAATTCGAAGGAAAAAACAAACTAATCTTAGTCGAAGTAGTATTCTTTATCGACATATCTTGATCGAGGAATAAGCGTGTTTTGTACACCAGTTCTTTCTCGATCCAACAAAATATCTATCATCCAAAATCTTCTAGTTAAATAAAGCGAGCCGTACAAAACAAAATTTCTAAACACGTGGATAACGGCAGTGTCGGTATCGTTCGCCATCTTGAATACTGTACACATGCGCCGAAATGCCACTTGTGTGGTTGTGCAGCTGCGCGGCGAAGATGCGTTTACGTCACCGCTTTTGGTTGCCGCGACACGAGTGCATCCACTATAATGGAGATCCCATTTACTCTCCGTCTCGTCGATCTTAAATCTTCGATATTATATAGCATCGGTTTCCCTAATGAAGGGGAAAAGACCTAGGGGAAGCTGGATGAACAAAATAGCTGACACACCTAAGAAAAAGAACTGACGATGTAACAACTGTACAAACGAGGTGGGTTCTAGGAACAATATTTGTCTACCACGTGGCTTTCGTACCTACAAACTATGACGTGAGTTAGTAACGCGCTACCTGTTGGCTTTCTTATTAATTTTGAGTGTGCACCCACTTTGTTACTGCTACAATGCGAACTTAAACAGTTTACTTACCTGTCTTTGTTAGGGCTCTTTCGTACTATGGCCAACTTGTTCCTCTGTAGCGTCTGCTTAGTCTTAGTTCTAAATTATGCCGCTATGTGCGATCAGGCGCCACTCACGGAAACTAGTTTTGTCAGTTTTGAGTCAAATTATTAGTTAAAAGTCAAAATAAAATAAATTTATGAATGGACACCTCGCTCTGAAATGAATTATTCCATAAAAAACTAATATAGTAAAATGATCAGATGGAATTACGAATAAAATAAAACATAGGGGGACTTAAAATTTGATATTTTTCCACTAAGTGTTATTAGTAGTAGTAATTGAACGTTCTGTAATATGTTTTTAAAGTATATAGTTTAAAAACATTACCGTTTGCATTAATTATAAATTCATTACTCACGTGACGTATGCAACCTTCATATTGTCTGGATATTATTTTGGAAAGTATACTTATAGAGAAAGACAAAGTTCAAGACTAAGGAAGGCCCTGTACACACTAGGCGTTTTTCAACGCGCGTTTAACACCAAGCTAACGCGCGTTAGCTCGGCGTTTGACGAGCGTTAGTTCGCCGTTTAGCACTGGCTCAGTTTGGAAATGGACGAGAAAGTAATTGATTGTGTGTGCTCCTCCATCGTCGCTATAAGGCAGCACATATATCTCAAAGNCCTGTGCGGAAGCACCTGTTGCACCTGCCTAGATACAGCACTGGCAGTATGATTCCTTATATGCAGTAGTTTTCAACATTAAATAGTAACATAATTAACATTCTTTCACCCCGTAAGGGCAGATAGAACCAAATCTCAAGATGTAATTTTTATAATAAATAAAATGTCAAGTGATTATAGTATAGTCATCATCATATTGTTTCTATCCAGATCTATCCCTGATAGAAGAATATACTAATATTAGGAATGCCAATGTTGAAAAACTGCTACAATACTATACTACAATGCTGTAGAGGTTTGATGTCATTTAGCCTCTCTATTTATGATTTCATTTGCATTAATTTCCATTGAAATAATAATTGAGACCTAATATTAAATAATGTTAGCAGAAAACAAATTACTACAAAAAATCTAGTTAAATAAATAAGAAAATACCAAATCAAATGATAAGCACAAATAATTAAATTTTAATATCATTAAATTCCAAGTATAAAAATTAACAAGTTTACAATTCAAATATACATTTATCATTACTCAATAAGTAAAGTGTTTACATAAACATCATAATTGTCAAATAACTAGGATTTACAATAGTAAAATAGGATTTCTTAAAAGCAGTGCCGGCCCGAAGCAAGTTTTAGGATGGAGCGAGATCCTATTATAGTGCTCCCTTTGGTTGCCCCTAACTTATACCCTTTAATTTTGTTTACCACTGAGGCGCCCCGTAGGACTTAACGCCTGGACTTAACGTCTTTTTTTCTTTAGACTTTATTTTACAGAGGTTCTTGCACCATGCATGGTCAACATGCCACAAACAATATAATCTTTGAGCAGGTTTCCCCATAACATGCACCCAAGCATTCAAAAATGAATCAGCCATATCTGACATAAACATGTTTGCTGACAAGGAGCTTACTTGTTTTTTAATCTTGGAAAAAAAAAAATCTGTAATATTTCCTTATCACTTTTGTTACTAAACAAAAAGGCACAAGGAAAACCTTGTCACATATCATCAATTATTATCAGTGATAAGCATTAAGTCCATAGGTCCCATCAATACACACAGCATCATTTCCATATTTTTCTAACATAAAAATCTGACCATCATTCATAATAGCTAAAGCAAAGTCAGATTCTGCTAAATGAAGATATTCTTCACATTTTGTACTTTGTGGTTTATAAAACAACACACAATCATTACTGTCATCTCTCATTTCATTCACCCAGGCATCTACACTTCATGAATCATTTGGATGTCTTGCAGAATTTGATGACAATTGCAAATTACTTTCAATATTATGTAGATACTTTCTTGTTACTAAATGAAGTCTTTGTAGCTCTTCAGGTGTTGATAGGCTGTCTCTGACTTCCTCTATTATGGCATTGAAAGGTTTCCTAGAATAAATTTTTGTCCTTCGATGACAAAACTGTATGACATAATTCATTTTGATGGCCTACATGTTGCAAGGTGATTGTAACAACACACTTTACATCATGTTTTATGCCCACTTTCATTTCGGATAAACAGAATCCATCAATCTTTTTGCTTCCTTATATATTTAAATAAGGAATAATTTTTCCTTACTTTTGAAATAACCTGATCTATGACAGTTATGATATATAGAACTATTAGGCTTAATGTTCCTTTCTGAACCACTTATTATAATGTACTTAACTATATTTTTCACTTCATACTTCTGTTTCCATTTCTTAAAATCACTAAATAAATTATATGTCTGAATATTATTAGAAATAAAAATGTCATGCACCTTGCTGAAATGTGACAATAGTTCTTCATTTTTCTTATATACACTTACACACAAGCTGCATTTAAATATTTTCGAAACACGTTTGCAATTGCTATAATTCCCTGTTTTTTTAATGTTTCTCCCTATATGTTTGGATAAGCTTTGTTTAAATTTGTATTTGACATGGCATATACTGAACTCCAAGTCCATTTTAACTAAAACTTACCACGCAGAGAAGACCACGTGTAACTAAAAACGACTCAAAACAGAGTTGCTAGATGTTTTTAGTGTTTGTAGCCAAAAATTTTTTAAAACAAAAATTTATTTGAAAAGCACAAATATTTGTTTTATTTGGGTCTCTAATTAATACAAAATGAGAAAACACTGTTTTAAAGTGCAATTTTATTCTCAAAACATTGACAAAGCCAGTTCCCAGTGATGCCATTTGTTGTTGCAGCATAATTTAGAACTAAGACTTAACAGACTCTAGATCAGGGGTGTCCAACCCGCGGCCCGCATGTGGCCCAAGGCAAGTTCCAGTGCGGCCCAATAAACGTGTAAACAAAGCTGACAAATGTTTTAATTTTTTTATTATTTATTTATTTCAACGGCATAAACTAAAAAAAGAAATTTCACAAAGCCGTAAACTTTTATTCATATTTTATTTTTGAGTGGAAAGAAAATATTTTCAAATACTTGGAGATGTGTGAATGCGGAAGGATTACTAAATAAAGCTGGAGTTATGACTCAAAGGTTTATAGACCCAAATTTGGGAAAAAAAGGAAAAGATGAGAAAGGACAAAAGATGTAGTAGTGAGAAACGTTAAATAGAACTTCTGTTAATCAAATATGGACCCGTAATTTTCAATCTTTTTCACTTCTTTATCTTTTGTCCTTTGCCTCTTTTTCCACGTACTTGGGTCTATAATCCTTTGATTCACAACTCCAGCTGTATTTAGTATTTCTTCGAACGTTGCAAGATTTGGCTACATTGCGCCAAATGTGGCTACTTTTTTCTGCTTGACGTAAAAAATATCATTTGGCGCTTTGGCTACTTTTTCGGCTACATATTATTTATAATTATATTAATGAATGAAAATGCACTTTAAAATGGCGTTTCGTCGCTTTTTATTAATTAGAGACCCAAATAAAACAAATATTTGTGTTTTTCAAATAAATTTTCTTTATTCTCTTTTATAATAAATGAATTTATCTATTTCTAAATAAAAATTGAAAGTGTCTGTAGAAGTAAGTTTTTAAAATATCCTTTTTTCTTATTTAATCCTTATTATTATAATCTAGATGTGTTAATTTTTAAATATACTTGTATATTGGGCCATAAGTATATATTATATATACTTGTGGCCCAAAATTCCTTGACTTCTTCCAATGCGGCCCAGAGAAACAAAAAGGTTGGACACCCCTGCTCTAGATGATTATTGCCATGGCAACAGCAGTTGGTTGACAGACAGGTTGATTCAGTTGGACAGAGTTAAAAAATTAAATATTTGTAATCAGGTTGGAGCAGTCGGTCATAATGTGAAATAGCCCTTAGTTGTTCGAAAATTATAGTGAAATTAATATGTTTATTTATTGATTGACACACTATTTAACTAGGAGAGGTAAGTGTTTCCTATTATATAAATTATATTTATTTATTTAGGCAAATGTAAACTCAAACTCAGCAGTTTTAAAACCTTCTAATCAATACAGATTGTTGACAAATGAAAAACATTTTAAATTGAGAAAATGAAGATAAAAGTAGAGCCAGAAAATGAATATTCACAATTTACATTGAACCCAGGTGATGTAAAGTTTGAAGTTTTAAAGAATTGCAAGAAAGAATTTAGTATGGATAACAAAGAGTTCTGTAGAATAATTAAATCTGACCCTTCAAACCATAAATACACAGAGGTCAGTAAAATGTACTTTTGTATAGGACTCTAGTGTTGTTTTCAAAGCGTCATTTGCAACCTTTCTACGTTTGCATTAGGCCTACTTCTTCCAAAATTTTAAAATGAATATTGTATACTTAAATGCATTACTGTGGGGAAAAATGTTACAATTTTGAACTGAGTCAGCCGAACTCGAAAGGATCCATGATGTCTACCTATAAAACCTGTCAAACAAACATTAGTGAGACAGTTGACTCCAAAATCCTTTATTATGTCATTGGATTTATATTTATTTAATTCTTTTTTAAAACTTATTGGTTATCATTTGCCTGATTTCACTTCTGATATAAACTGGGCTGTGAAATTTTCAAATTTCAGATCTGTAGATTCCCGGTATAAGCCATCTATTCATCTGTTCTTTTTATATTTGATAACAGAATTATGTAGGTGAAAATCATAAACTTTCTTACTGGAGGATTAACCGTAGTCACGTGATTTTTGAAATTAAAATATCATTCAAAATTTCAGTCAATATAAACAATTTTTGAACCTGGATTATTATGAATAAGAATAAATAATACAATTGAATTCATTGCCCTATTTGAATCATTAAAACAGACAAATAAACAGTTTTGAGTTATAAGTTCATGGGATCAAGGCAAATTTGAGTTAGGGGCCTTACATAAAGTGTATAAAGAAATTTCAGACATTTTCCTTCATGAACTGAAGGAGAGTATAGAGTTGACCTTTAGTGGATGTTCATTTATTTAATTAAATATTATACAGTTTATGCATTTTATTAGATTTATTTCAAGATTTCTTGCGTTTAGTTTCTACTTATTGTATTTAGTATTCATAAAATGATAAAGGTTTAATGGGGGAGATTTATTGAATGTATAAACTCTCATTTTTACGTATTAATTTGGTATGAAAATGCTTTAGATTTGAATGAAGTAAAGGAATTTTTATAATAAAACAATCAAAAGAAATGCATATAAAATATTATTATTTGAAGGTATTTATGGATTTAATGGAATTTTATGTTTAGATTTAAATATTTTTTTTTTTCTTATATAAAATTTAATTTGTGTGATAATGTAATGTAAGTTTTTAATCCTTTCAGGTAAATACTTATGAAAATTCAAATTCAAGAAATAACACAAACTGTTCCAATTGTTGGAGTAATTCCGATTATAACAGTGAAATAGGTAAGAGACTTCGTACTTTTAACATTATAAATATATGTTTCTAGTGATTAAAAGAATAGTTAAAACATAAATATAGATAAATTTATATTTATATAAATTTTAAGTTGATAATATTTCATAAACTTTGCAAATATTTTATATTTGGTGTACATGAAATTAAACAGGTATTTTAATATTATCAATGTTTGTACTTCATAGAGTTAAGGCAATCAGTTTAATTCATCAGCATTCTAGAACAGAAAAAATCCCAATTTAGTTGTTTTAGAAAATAAAGTGTGATAGAATTCAATTTGTTTTTAATTTTATTTATTTATTTAATAGTACAAGGGAAACCCTGTAAGCACGGACATATTACAATAGAACAAAAAAACATTACAATCATTAGTATTAATTCAAGTACAAAATACATTAATATTAACAGTACAGCATGTAACAATTAGCCTGTTAAAAGAAAAAAGAAATAATACAAAGTTAATATTAATAACAAACAAAATCAATAATAATAATAGTAATATCCACAAAAGAAATAAAAAATGCATGCAAAAATGGCAGTGAATAGTTGACCACATAGAGAAATACTATAAAATAATATAGAGAAAAAATTAAACAATTGTCTGAAAAAAATTAAATTATTAATTATAATATGCCCAAAAGTGTTGACCATAAATGCTGCCAACTATCAAGCACTAAATCATTTACTGTATACTATATTCACACCTCCTGATGGTTAATCTTCTGGAAATAACTATCTTAGTGTAAACTAAACCAATTAAACTCCTTTAACCCTTTATCTTAGTAATAAAACTATAAATACAATGATATTTATTAAAATTTTATAACAATTGCTTATACGATTGAACCAAAAAATAATCTTTACCAAAACACTTTTGTGTGGTTGACATCAGAGCCTAACATTCAGTTACTACATGAAAAGCATCAAAATTAATATGACCATCACAGAATTCACAATAATCGATACATGGAGCCATCATTCTTCTAAATACATTACATCACACATGTAACACTGCTTGTATAATGCAAAATGGTCTTTGTATGAATGGGGATCGGTGACCAATAGGTCACCGATCCCCATTCATTAAAAACAGCCAAATACCACTTATTTTATTTGTAATTAGCAGCTCTATCTTTAAACTCACTTATATTATTATTTGCCAGTCTCATTAAAATATCAGAGATATCAGTTTCATTTAACATCATAGAATCATTTTGATAGCTGAAATTTTGCAACAAGGACACAATTCAATCTCTTCACTCTACTCTTTGAGAAATTAATAATACTGTATTTACTTGGGTATAAGAAGATCTCAAGTATAGGACAAGGTATGACTTTAGAGATCAAAATAAAGAAAATTAGATTTATTAATACAATTCTAATTTTATTTTGTTTAATCACAAAATATTATCAAATGCACATATTAAGGCAAACAACCATGTTTGCCTTAATATGCGATGAATGGAAAACAAAGTGCGCGTGACTGGAAAAAGTTTATTTTTAATGATTCAGAATGTGCTAATATTCATTAAAAATAACAATTTAACTAATATAAAATAACTACATTAATAATCATTGCTATTTCTTTAATGTTTTTGTAAATAACAAGAAACTATTTTTTGCGAATGAATTAGATGTAATGTTGGTTTTAATTGATGGATGTAGGATTAAACCAATAAACAAAGGGGTGTGTGTCCTAATTTGTTTACAGTAGGTGCCAACTTACGATAAATAGATTGTAGACCTATAATAACAGCATGAAGTATACACAGTTTACAAAAATGTGACCTTTCGGGTCGGCACCTTTTTGGTACCCTGTCAGGATTGACACCACCGTGTTTCTCGAAACATGGAAACCGAGACGGCGATTTCGTCACGCCGTCGAGCGAGCGATCCCGTACGTGGTCAGACGGATTCGTAATGTCGATTCGAGAGACAACATTGGAAGTGACTCATATACACTTAACAATTAACAAGGGTTTATTTAAAAATCTATTGAAAAAAGTGTTGTCGCGGAGAGAGAGAGTTCACATACGATTCGTGGGGTGATAAATACCTGGAGTTTGGATGATTCTTGAATAACTGATAATTGATAATCAAGTTCTTGACTTAATCCAAAGTTCTAGCGACGATGTTCATTCAAGTTTCTTTGGCACTTAATAAATCTTGTTGCAAATAATCCAAATAGGAGGCACAAAAACACAAAAGTCCGGTTGCTATCTGACGACTTCTATCCAGAGGAACGGCAGCAACTGACTCTTTTCTTCGGCCGTCTCTGATGATATTCACGAGCGATTTTGGCCGTGCAGAGGTTAATAGTTCACGAGAAAGCGTCATGTTGCTTCCGAGAAAATGTAACGGGAGACTTTCTCAGGTAGCTAAGAACAACAATTGTTGCGTAATTCGCGAAACGTTATTATTAAAGACTATTTCTAATATAAGAAGTTCTGCTATCTTACAAAAATTATTGCAAAGAATCCTTCGTTTGCACGTATAGCATGACCTAGGTTTTTGAAGCAGTGAAAAACGAATAAAAACTTTGTCTTATATCTGAGTAAATATGGTAATTTAGCAGACTGTAAGTTTACTAACTGACTGTTTGGGTAACCACCTTAAATTATTCTTTATTATCTATACTAATATTATAAAGAGGTAATGTTTGTAAGTATGTAAGTAAGTTTGTATGCAGTGGGTAATCTCCGAAACTACTCATCCGATTTCAAAAATTCTTTCACCAATATTTAGAATGGACCTTCAGGGTGGACATAGGCTGTATATTATTCCGTTAAACATTCATATAAATTAAATGATATCATCTATGGTTAAGGCTTTTATGTCCAACGGATGGCGCTACGAGTACGACACCCTAAGTTTGCTTTTCTGCGAGGCGTTATGCTTTTCTGTGAAAATGAACTAAAGTGGATCATCTTCTATCTATCTATATAAATAAAAATTTAATGTTCATTTGTTCCTACCGATTCCTTTGAAATTTTGACACAATGCTGCATTCGAATACGCACGTGTTTTTATATAATATAGGTGTCGAAATTCAACCCCACAGAAGGGAAATGGTTAGGATTAAGGCTCACTGTAAAGAACTCTGCTTCTATTTATACTATTTTAGATGCGGGTTTTTGCGTTTTTGATTGCGTTTTAATAGGGTATGTCAACAGAATGTACACTAAGAAGAAATTTTTCGATATTCTTCCCACGGGGGAGAGAGACAGGAAAGAATAAATTTTTCAAAAAATTCCCCCCCACGGGGAAGTGTTATAAATTTATAATAGATACATTTTGAGCCACAACAATGTGTGGCAGGGTCTGCTAGTATTAAAATAAACCAGATTTGCACGGTACTGAATATTTTTTCATGTTTGGCAACTTTCTGTTTTTAACAAGTTTCTTTAAACACAAAAATGGCTGCATTCCAAAGACTTTTTCCTGTTTTGAACAGGTTTTACTGTATATCTAGACCTGGCACTAAATTTATACAGAAATGACACATGTTCACCATCTGACCCTGATTTATCCTAAAGAAAAAAGTGATAGCATGTTATGTGAGCAAATTAATTTATCATTTAATTCTAAAAATAAACCTGATAATAATATGAAAAATAAATTTAATGTGCTTATATATGCCATACAATAATAATACAGTGGGTGATCGGTTAACGAACATAATCCGTTCCAAGACTTTGTTCGCTATCCGAATTGTTCGTTAACCGATCACCCACTGTATCTAATATTCAAATTGAAAGTGACTGAAGTGACTCCACGCTAAGTAAAAATTCCATTGAATGACTATACAAGAATCACAGTTATCGATTTTCTGGAGTCAATTTCTTTGTCTACCAAGTACCTGCATTAAGTCTGAATAACTCATTCAAAAGATACTTGTTTTCTTAGTTAATGTGCAAAATTTAACNAGTGACTCCACACTAAGTAAAAATTCCATTGAATGACTATACAAGAATCACAGTTATCGATTTTCTGGAGTCAATTTCTTTGTCTACCAAGTACCTGCATTAAGTCTGAATAACTCATTCAAAAGATACTTGTTTTCTTAGTTAATGTGCAAAATTTAACAATTTTCTATCAAGTGGTTGCCAAAATATAAGCAATCGAAAAGTACAAAAATAGCCAAATATACTATATTTTTTTCAAGTGGCATTGCAGACACTTATAGAAAAAGCTACAAGATCTAAAAAGCTCAAATTTTACACTTATTCTTTCTCGTTATCGATTAGTTGCTAGCGACACTTTTGGATCAAAAGGTCATAGTACACGGGGATTCCCTGTATAGATATATTACTTTTCTCACGTAATATCATGCTTACTCACAAGATTTTTGCATCCATTATTGTTTTTTATAGTAAGCTTCAAAGCGCCAAGCTTATTTCTATCACAGAAAAACGTACATCATACTTTTCCTGTAACAATAGCATCGTGCCAGTCTTCTATGTGACATTTTTCAGGACAAATATATGAATTGAAATAACATGACTTCTGTTTTGCATGGGATATTGTTAATCAGGGCCTCTAGTGCCTATGGTTTCCATATCTGGTCTCTGGTTTCATCTATCTAACTACAATCTCTAGATTAAGGAAGGAAAGACAGACAGCCTAACAGACGACAGTGGAAATTTATAGGTCTATAATTTTTTCAAATTTCAGCTTAAATATCCACATTTTGTTTTTAAATTTTTACATAGTTTTTTAAGAAATATTTTTTCTAAACAATTAAAACTAAAATTAGTTTTATTTATTTACAGTCGACCCCCCCTATAACACTGTTGATTATTCCGTTTTATATGAATTCCATGTTGTACAAGTCACTTAGATTCTACAAATACGTGAGCTGTTCACAGCCCAGCACAGATATTTGTAAAATCTAAGTGACTCGTACAACATGGAATTCATATAAAACGAAATAATCAACATTGTTATAGGGGGGGTCAACTGTATTACAATTCTTTGCTTAAAACTTTTTATGATAAAAATATTTCGTAAATTCCAATACAGACTGTAAGAAAGAGGAAATAAAAGAGGAGAAATGTGACATTAAACATGGCGTAAAATCAGAATGTAAAGTTGTTTTGAAAAGATTGAATTTTAAAGTCAAAACTGAAGACTGCCAACGAGTTTATCTCCCAGATGAATACGAAAATTTAAAGGTAAGTGATAAAAAACTTCCAAATAGTTTACACATTTTATAACTTAAGTTTGTATATTAGTTTTCTTTGAATTATTGAAAGAAAAGGTAAATATAACCAATTTTACACAATTATACTGTAAATTTAGGTGTATTCTGTATTAAACAACAGTCGTAATTTTATGGCTTTCACTTTCTGCTTCTTTTTCCATGATGAAAGTCTGAAGGGTGGGAACATTAAGTGTTTAGTTCAGAGACTCATCCAGGGTTTTGTCAAGCCAGAATAGACCAGGCCTGAAATGAAAATGGCAACCTGATCGAGTCAACCCTGTGTTTTGTAAGGGACTAAAATTATACTTATGATACTCATCAAAAGACCAATGATAGTAAACAGTTAGATTATTTAAGTTTATAACAATATGAACATTTTTATTACAGAAAAATATGTTTATAAGGTTTCCGAAAAGGTGGGACAAAAGGGAAAAAGACAATTGAAATGAAGTCAATTTAAACGAAGGATGTGGGTGATGATAGACAATGAGTCAGAAGATCTTAACAATTTAACTTTCTTATTTTGAGCCAATGTGAATGCATACAGAGTATTATAAAATGTGTTCTTTTTCAAACGAATAAATTTCTCCTTGAGTAAATCCACAATGGCAGATAAAGTAAAGCTGTGAGGTGTGAAAAGGAAATTCCTACTTTGTCCTTGAAATATGGAGTTTTTAAAGAATTTTATTTCTGAACTTTCTTTTTTGATTGGACATTACTCTCTCCCGATTGGTTATTTTCTTGTCTCCAAGTGAAATTAGACCAGATTGGGCTGCTAGTAAGGTAGATTTTTAGTATTCACCTGACACTGTATCTCGACTTTCACCAAGAAATGTTGATCAAACTTTGAAATTCTTGCTTGTAGTGTAGAGAATGAAGTTTTCTCTTGTGCTCAAGGATTTCACTTGTTGAATTCTCTTGTTTTCTCGTTTATTTTTATTTATTTAAATTTTATCTTGTTTACGAGTGCTAGCGTGAAGATTTAAATTTTCCTGTCTGACATTTATTTAAAAAAATTATAATACATGTGCTTCAATCTGACGGGAGAGTTAATTTATTTATATTCGCTTCACTTCTATTTTATACACATTTTTTCTCCATAATAAAATATTTGTTTAGCAAGTTTAGAGAGGGTTCGAAATTATTTTGACATTGTCCCAATTCTGGCAATTTTTAATCATATTTTAATTTAAAAAATTACGTGATTTCTTGTCCAAACTAAGTTCATATAGAATTATTTGGTGCCTCAAACCCTTAACATTTCCATATCTGGTCTGGATTTTCATGTATTCAGCTCTGTTCTCGAGATTAAGGAAGGAGGAACAAACAACGGTTGGCACCTACAACAAAAAATGTTGCAACCCTACAGATATCAGCGAATTAAAGCAAACTAGGTAGCCACTTTACAGTAAAACCAAAACTGAAAAAAATTACAATTATAAAGAAAATAAAATTTAATTAAAACTGAAATCAAATCAATTGAAAATTAAAAGAATGTTTCTAAAAAGCATTTAAAGGTGGTTTTGAAATTTTCAGATTAAATAAAATTTATTTTTAAATTTATGTTATGTGTAAAAGAGCATTGTGCTTTTAATATATACAGGTATACCTCGACTTACGTCGTTTCGAGTTACGTCGTTCCCGATTATACGTCGTTTGTCAAAAAAGTATATGGAAAATAAAAATCGAGTTTAAGTCATTTTATTAGACTTTACGTCTGTCCGCCACAAATATTGAAGTCGTAATATCACTAGAAAAGCGTTTAAAGCACATAAAATCAAGTATGTACTGTATTTACAGTACCTGCATTCGTAAATTTAGATTACTTTTTTTGTATTACATTAAAAACTAAAATTTAATAAAATTGTTTGTAAGCTTAATAAATAAAATACAGAACCGGGAATGGTAATTTATGGTTTAGCCTAGTGACAAGTAGATTCGGAGACAAGTAAATTCGACTTACGTCGTTTTCCTGGAACCAATTACCGACGTAAGGCGAGGTATACCTGTATACAGTTGTCCCTCTATAGTCCGACGTTTTTTAATCCGACATGCTCAGTAGTCCGACGCACCTCCCGTCATGGTACCCGTCCCCGTTACGTGTCTGCTTGCACAGAAGCATGTCGCGATGTGAATCTCCCCATCCAATTCTTACTCGATGACACACATTTCGTGTGTTTTATGTGAGCAGTTCTGTTCGAACAGTTGGAGTAGAGAATATTGTAGGCTACTGCTAGCAAAACAATGCGAAATATGTAATTATTTTCGGTAATCCGGACACTTTTGGTAATCTGACACACCTTTGGTCCCATACCTGTCGGATTATCAAGGGACAACTATATATATACAAATTTAACGATTGTATTTTTATTTATATGTTGGTTCCTTTTTAAAGTTATGATTTTTTGAATGATTTTATAGCTTAAGTTTATGTTTTACTGTTTTCACTGTTTAAGAAGGCAGTGATTTTCCAAAGTGGGAGCTACCACCTTCGAAAAAGTTTGGGGATCACTGGTTGAAGGTGTTACTTGTTAAACAATTTATCATGATTTCAGTACATTCCATTATTGTTAAATTGGTTATCACTGTTTATAAAGGTATAAATAACTGCAGCATGTGTATAGTCTTGGAGGAAGTCCTTGTATCGTCATACAATATCTATCCAAGAATACAACAATTATTCCTTATAACCCAAATCTGAATTGGCACATTCCTATATCACTAGACTCAATGGATTTTATTGTGGTACTACAAACTTTTATTAGCAGAACCCTTGGGTTCAGTGGAACACAAAGTTGCAAACCCCTGGTCTAATAAGTTGTCCAGTGGATAAAACACTGAACACTGCTGACCGGGTTTGTTTCTGGTCAATGGGCTCCCAAGTAGTGTTTTTTGGGTTTCTTTACTTCTGCAATGCCTATATAGGAGAAACTTCTTAACATATAGGCATTAAATTACAAATGAATGTCACTAGATCGACAAGCGCTTTTGACGATAATTATTTTTGTCTTCGTCAGGCTTGTTGGTCTAGCGACATTCATTTGTAATTTAATGCCTATATGTTAAGAAGTTTCTCCTAGTAAATGATCGGTGTGCTGTCCATTTCTGAATTATAGTTAACTATATAGGGGACAGTTTTCGATAGAAAGTACAGTACTTCCAGCAAGATCCCCCTTCAGCAGATTGCGCACATTTTGCATTCCCTTATACAACCATAAACCAAACTGAAAAAAAGAATTAATCTCTACAAAATATGTAAGAAATAAATTAGTTTTAATGCACAGCAACATGTTTATGACTTACATAATTATTTTCATGTATAATATATTGTTTTCTGTTGTTTCTACATTCTTTAGCCTGTCAAGAATGAATTCTTTATTCCCGACAGAAATTTTAACAGGAATGAAACGAATGTTGAAAGTAAGTAACACATTACAAGTTTATTTGTTAAATGCTTTTTTGAAGATCAGACTTTACATATAAAATTAGCCCTATGTGACATTTAAAATTTTGCACTGCCATCTGTTATCATATTTTATTAAAAGAAACTTGTTATATTTTTATCTATCATAAAATAGTAAAAATATATTAATTTTAGGAAAAGGGGTGGGTTTTTATAAAAAAATTGTAATTGCTAATTCCGAGAAAAATCGTTATTCAATCTGACCTCCATTATCTGACCATTCCCTCAATTTTCAACCAGCAAAATGATTAATAATATTTGTAAAAGCCTTACTGTCCTTAAATTCTAATGTTATTGTTAATTGTTTACTTGGACTTTAATTATTAATAGGACTTAATACTGGTGTTTAAAGATTGGCACAGCAATGAGTGTTAGTTCAGGAAAGAACAAAATTTCTTTATTATATCACCTGTAGTAATAGTTTGTGTACACATATTATACGTGTTTCGGGCTAGATGCCCCTCATCAGCAGTACTACTACCATACACTAAAAAGTAACAACAATAAAACAGATTATACAGGTGTATACAGGTGATATAAAGGTGTAATACAGGTGATATACACCAGTATTAAGTCCTATTAATAATTAAAGTCCAAGTAGATAATTAACAATAACATTAGAATTTAAGGACAGTAAGGCTTTTACAATTCTTTATATTCTTCTCTATATGGGTTCTTTTGACAGTGCGGGAGTCAAACTTAATCCAGCTTCAATGTCTCGTACACCACCTTTTTTTTTTTTCACGTTGACTTACAATATAGAAATGAACTACAGAAGATTCGGAGTATATGTGTGTGTGTGTGTGTGTTGGCACATTTATACACATTCATATAAATGGAAATGGTAACATTTGAATATCCTATGTATCATTAATTATACTAGAAATTATCCCGTCAAGCATGACAGAATATTTCTTATGAGAACGAAGAGATTGAAGAATTAATAAGTGCTTTAAGTCGAGCATGATGTTGTGATGCTGTTTCTGCAGCCGTTTACAAAGCCATTTTTTACTTTATGTTGCTTAAGTCGATGTTCACTAAGTACATTTTTCTTATTTGAAAATATATAACAAAAAATTGCGATTTTTGGAGAATCTGGAACGGATTAATGGTATTTCAAATCATTTTAATGGGGAAAATTGATTTTACATACAAGTAATTTGAGTTACGAGTTCCGTCACAGAACGAATTAAACTAGGAAGTCAATGTATCAAAATTTTCTATTCTGATAAATAAAATATTTGTGTTAAATTCTTTATTCATTTCGTAGAAAATTTGTATTCTTTCTATGCTTTACAAATTTATAAATTAAGTCACTTTCAAATTGATGTGTCTTAGTTTTAACAAATCGCTCAAATTTCCCGGCAACAGTTTAAAATTTTTGTGGCTGTTATTATATATTATTTTTAAAAATTTTGTTTTTAAATATTATAAAATAGCAAAAAGCTAATTTTCGGAGTAGGGATGATTTTTATAATTAATTTTAAATGCTAATAATGAGTAAAATCGTCATTAAGTTCTACCCTACTGGAAATACAAATGACCCCAATTACTCTTCAACCCTTCGATATTAAACCACCAAAATTTAACAGCATCAACCCCAATAATATGCAAATCTGCCTGCTAAATTTCAAAAATTTTTAACAAAAAGCAGTGTAACTTTCATAAGTCTCAGTTATAAACTAACATTTATAATTAAAAAAATTACACTCAAGCATACATCTGAACAAATTACCCCCAAATGTTTTTGCATTTCTCGATGTTTCAAGGTGCCATATGTCCAAAAATATACAAATCTTCAGGGAGCCATTTTCTGTTTGATTGCCATACATTTTCTCTATTATATATGCCTATAACAGCTAAGAAAGTGAAAAGAAATGTCGACATTTACGGCACGTCATCAATAGTCATTAAAATTTGAGTAAATTATTATCGATTGAATAAGTCAATGCAACACATGGGGCATTTGCTAATCGGTTATTCCTCACGCATAGATTTTATGTGGAAAACTGATTCCTGCTTAGTTATTAGGCACGTGAAGGAAAACCAGAAAACTTTGCGCTATAAGCTGGTTAGTGAGGCGCGAACCCTCAACCATGAATGAACCTAATTATCATAAAACATTATTAAATTTACATTAGTACTGAAGTATTAATGTATGAATGACTTTTTTATAGTAATACATTGCTAAAGCAAACTTTAGAGAATTTAGGAACAATTTAGTCGATGACAAGTGATGCTAATTTGATCTCGTTCAAGACTATCCTGTTCTAACGCAACTTGAAAAATGAGGTCACCGGAAGTTTTAGCTTGGTCGAGGGGTTTCACCTCATCATCGCATCGTAGCTATAAAACCACGATTTATATGGTAAACAATTATTATTCCTAGAACTTACCTACGAATACTCATAGTAATCGAAAATTAAATTTATTTCATTATTAAAATTTAAAATATTTCTGGAGGCCGCATCAAAATTTACCAATAAAATTGAAAATTATTTTTTTTNTCTGCCAATAAAACAAAATTTCATCTAAATAATATTCTATATAAATTATTTATTTATATTGATGTGTTTACATCCAGATAAGTCAAATACATATTCGATGAATGTGACTTTATTTTTTTTCATATTTTCTTTAAAAACATCATTTCATGAAGTCTTGTACTGTACAATACTATTTTCGTATATTCTGATTTACACGTCGGATTCCTTTTGTTTTGTTTTTGCTTACATACTAATTGTTTTTCTTTCACTTATTATATTTCATTATTAAAATTTAAAATATTTCTGGAGGCCGCATCAAAATTTACCAATAAAATTGAAAATTATTTTTTTTTGTGCTAAAATTTGAAAAATTTGTAAGCATATAAATTCCTACTGTCCTTCCTTAACTACAAGAACGTATTTTGATAGACAAAATCGTAGATCAGATATAAAAACCGTGGGTCAAAAGGCCTGATTAACTGTATACGAACTTCCGAAGCAAACCGGAAGTCACGTTCTTTCAATTCAAAACTTTCCCCTCGAAAGAAGTCAGATGAATGGCCTGCACGACTCTATTGTTAAAGGAAAAGTATAAGGTACAGAGGCAAAACACTACTACTTTGAGCATATACTTTTAATTAAAATATAATTAAAAGTTGCATCTCGTCATTAGTTTTCCAAATAATCAGACAATTAATGTTTTATAAAAATAATATGAAAACAAATTTATAAACTATGAAGTAAATATTTACTGGGAGATTTATTTTATAATCTGCTTATTTTATTTTATTTTCTATTGCTAAAAAGGTCAAGGGTTAATTTATGTCATTGCTTCTTCTTCTCATCCTTCAGGATAACAATAAGAACTGAAGTAAATTGAGTTACGTGAGAATACCTCTCTTAAGATTCGAATTTCAATATACTCCTGTAAGGAAATTTAGGACGAAATTTAATGCAGTATTAAATGCAAACCACGCAGTACAATGCTATTTATTAAAATTAAAGGAAGAATAAATGAAAATAATTGTTTGTTTAGTTATGGCACTGCGTCACTTGGGCGATCTGCCTAGGGGAATGCCTTCCGAAAGGTCTTTTTAAAGTGGTCCCTATTTAGGCGTTACAGACGTGAAGAAAACCCGGAAAACTCCACGTGGCCATCTTGTCCCAGCAAGATGTAAACCCACGACCTAACTCGCAGCGTTCAGGGCACGAAGACTGCTTAGCCACTGGTGAGCTCGGAAATAATTAAATGATTAATATTTACATTTATTTTTTTTCAGAATTAGCAGTAAACCACCAAGTACGAATACGTATTACGTTGGCCCGTGTAGGACAGAAATCTCGCTTCCCTTGCCCATACACTTAACACTGTGAACTCTGACATTGTATATTTCCGGTCACAGGGCGATCTTTTGTGAAAATTAAATACACATCAAGTAATCATTCAAAATTTTTTTTTATTTTTGATTAATCATTACATATAAAGCGATAAACAAAGAAAAAGTTTACGAAAAACATCTTAGATCAATTAAAAATTATTTATTTTATTAAAACTTGATTTCATAAAAATTTCAATTTATTATTTCAATAACTGATTCATTCTTATTTGGCTGCAATTTGAAAAAATTGTAGACCTATAAATAATCACTGTCATCTGTCCCTCTTTCTTTCTTTCCTTAATCTGTAGAATTGAGTTAGATAGAAGAAAGATGAGTCCAGATATTGAAACCTTAGTGACAGGTGACTCCGATTAACTATGTAAGTATTCACGTTTGCACCGTAAGTTTCCATATATAATCGGAGCTTCCTACCCCTAAGCTCTCCATATCTTGTCGCGACTTTATCTTATTCCCTTCGTGAATTCAAAAAAAGAGTGACAGGCGGTGAAGAATGGGAATTTATAAGTCTTCAATTATGATAAGCGAAATTGACAGATATAAAAATAATCAGTAAAAAATCTGAACATTTCTACCTATTGTCCTGTATATATTTCGTATATTAGTATAAATAATACGTATTTTACACACAAAATTCTATTGCAAAACATGACTTCGCACGTGAAGTTTTAAAGTAATAAACGAACAGAATTTCATACCACAAACATCACATATCATAATGCTTAAATCGGTATTCATTTTCATATGTCTATTTAGAAAAATCTGTGTCCGAAACGTCTTATTGCAAATTTCGCATTTATACCTTCCTCCCGGTGGATGAGCAGTCTTTTTATGAGTTTCGAATTTGACTTTTGATGTAAATTTCCTTATACAAACGTCACAATGGAAGTGTATCTGATTATTGTATGCAAGTAGATGCCGCTCCAAAACTATTTACGTAAGTTTGTTTACAGATATTACACTGATAAGTGAATTGTTTAGAGTGTATTTCTGAACAAGAAAATTGTAAATGCAATTTCAGTTTAGTTTCTGTTTTAAATCTGCATTTACAATGGCTGCAAAAATGCTCCTTTCTTTGATGAGCAGGTTGGTGCCTTAAGAGGTGAGATTTGGAGTAAAATCCCTTCTTACATACCTCACAAACTTAAGGAAAATTGTCTTTATTGTGAGAACTTTGATGACATTTCAACCGAAAATTTGATATGAAACGTGTGTTACACACTTTACAAAGATACGGTTTTACATCAAAATGAGTTTTTTGATGACGGATTAAAGAGGTTTTAGACAAAAACTCCTTTTTACATATATTACATTTTTGAATATGGATTTTCTTATGAGCTTTCAGCATATTTTTAGTTTTGAATGAATTATAACAATAAGTGCAAACAAACATATTCTGATGTTGAACAAAGCGATGTCTGTCAAAAGCAAATCTATTTTTGAATCGTGTTTTACATACGTGACAAAAATACTTACCACTTTCATGTTCATGAGTTCTTTCATGTCGTCGTAAATAGCGTTTTGTTTTAAAATACTTGTTACATATCTGACAGCATTAATTGCATTCATCGGTATGTATAAGAACATGTCGTCTTAAACGCTGTCGTGTCTTAAAACTTTTGTTACACACCTGACAAGAATACTTACATTCTTCACTGTGGATTTCATGATGCCTTTTTAAATGGAGTTTCATTTTAAAGCCCTTATTACATATATCGAATTTGAAAGGTCGATCTTCACTATGAATAACTTGTTGTCTTCTGAATAACGATTTCGTTTGAAATTCTTTTTTACATATCTTACAACAATGAGGTGCTTGCTGATGTCTTCTGTGATGCAGCTCTAAAAAGCCCTTTGAAGCAAGTAGCTTATCGCAGATGTCGCATCGAAAGTGTTTCCATTTAGATGCTTTACGAATTTTTGGTGATGATGGCAAACGATCTATTTTATGATCAATTTCGATTTGTTTTTCGGTGTTGTGTTCCTTCATGTGTCTTCTCAGTAAAAATTACCAGGAAAATTTCTGATTGCAGGTTGTGCAGCTAAATGGTTTTTTTCCGATATGAAAGTTGAAATGCGCTTGTAGTATTTCCTTGTTTACGAAAATCTGTTTACATAAATCACATTTGTGATTTTGTTTAGAGTGAGATGAACGTGTTACTCTATGATATTTTTTCTTAATCTTTCTTTGGATTTTGTTGTATTTTCTAATTAAAGGGATGAATTTCGTCTTGTTTGCGTTACACTTATTATTCTTTTGTCTTTTTGAATTGTGATGAATGTTGTATTGCTCACTTTCTTCTTTCTTCTTAGCTGAAATTTAAACGTTAAATACAATAATTAATTCATTTACTTTAAATTAAGTATTTATTGTGTTGACATAATTTGACACATAATAAACATTGCACAATTTGAATATTAAAATGTAAGTAGGTAAGAGAACTTGTTCATTTTTAAATACACAATACTCGTTATCTAGTTATAAGGTTTTCTTTATGCTTAAAATATAATCGAGATGCGTTGATAATAATAATAATGATAATAATAAGTGCAGTTAGTTAGGAGTTGAAAGTTGAAATTTGGTACACAGGATACGCCATGAGAATGAACACTGAGAAGGGAATTTTGGAAATTTTCCCCTGCAGGAGAGAGGGAGATGTTAAGTATTATATTGAAGAACTCAGCTTCTACCGTACTATTTTAAATGCAATTTTTTGCAGGAAAACGTACATATGTTTACACACATCTAAAAATTCTCTAATTAGCCTCAAAATAGAAAGACCTAATTCTTGCACTCAGTGAAAATGGGTAAGATCGACTATAATCTAATAATCTTAATCTTTGCTATTGTTACTTTTTACCCCAGCAATGTTGGGCTCATTATATACTCAATTGCTAGTATTATATCATTAAGTTATACAGTTCATATGAAGTTATTTTTACGATAAAGCACGTTAATAGCTTAATTTTTGGATCTGAATATAAAATGCATGTGATAAATTATTGTAATAAGAAAAAACAAACATTCCATTATTATGTACTGAATGTGCTGGTTGCTACATATAACAGCTAGCATGGTGATTGGTGAAGAAAATGATGACCATGCAATATTCTTACATTTTCAGGCTCAGGGAAGTTTCAAAATTCAAGAAATAAATAAAAAAAAAACTTTCGCGGATTATTCTGCATGCACATATGTATGGATGTGTATCTGTATAGTATGTGGTACATTCTTTTTAACACAGTTTGATTCATAATAATTGTTTTGAATTTTGTCCAAAATATCTGATTTTTTGAATGGAGGTTCATGTTTTGGGGGGTTAGATGCTATTAACTTTTGGTGATAGAGGTTAACGGGGTACAGAGGGTACATGTGTAATGCCACGCGTAAAATCAGAAATAATGAAGATTTTACTCGTTATTAGCATTTACAATGTTTTATAAACCTTTTCTCTAACCACAAAATTAAGCTTTTTGCCATTTTATGATATATAAAATTATATAAACACCTTTTAAATAAAATATTATTCCGGATGTTGCGTTGCCACACCATTTAAGTAGAGTTAAGGATAATTGAATTTATTTACATATTAATATCAATAAATGTCCAGCAGAAGTGTAGAACTTTGTAACACATTGAAAATGTTTATCTCTTTAGCTATATCATTAAGGATACAGTTTTAAAACCAAGCACATTTAATTTTGTAAAATTTCGGAACTTTAATTATAAAATAATATTAACTATTTTGGTGGTTGAAGGTTGGCGGAGGGGACAGATAATGGAAGTCATGTGTATCTCCAGTAGGGTCAGATTTAATAACGGTTTTTTCTCAGAATTAGCAATTACAATCTTAATAAATACCCACCTCTTCCCTGAAAATTAAGCTTTATGTTATCATATAATAGGTAAAAATATAACATTTTTTTTTAATAAAATGTGATGATGGCGCAAAATTTTAAATGTTACATAAGGCTAATTTTATATGTAAAGTCTGATCTTCAAAAAAGTATTTAAATTAATTAACAAATAAACTTCTAATGTGTTACTTACTTTGTACGTTCGTTTCATTCCTGTTAAAATTTCTGTCGGGAATGAAGAATTCGTTCTTGACAGGCTAAAAAATGTAGAAACAACAGAAAACAATATATTATACATGGAAATAATTATGTAAGACGTAAACGTGTTGTTGTGCATTAAAAAGTGCATTAAAAGTAAATTATTTCTTACATATTTTGTAGAAATTAATTTTTTTTTTGTTTCGTTTACAGTTGTATAAAGGAATGCAAAATGTGGTCAATCTGCTGAAGGGAGATCTTCTCGGAAGTACTTTCTACGGGAAACTGGCCCTAGTTTTGACGTTGCAGAAATAAAGAAACCCTTAAATCTCTACTTGGGCAACCCATTAACCAGGAACGAATTCACAGTCAACAGTGTTCAGTGATTTTATCCACTGGGCAACTTATTTGACCAAGGATTCCTAACTTTTGTTCCGCAGATCTCTAGGGTTATGCTAATAAAAGTTTGTGGTTCCACAATAAAATCCGTTGAGTCTAGTAATATATGAATGTGTTAATTCAGATTTTCTTTACAACTTAGAGAAATTCCTTTAAAATAAACTAAATATATTTGATAATTCAATTAATAGCATTAAAAACTCTGACCAGTTCATAAAAAATCTCCGAAATATCAATATAAATAAAGGTATGAGAATGTTGAGCCTGGATATATCTACCTAAGTACTCAATAAATAGAAAACTCAATGAAGACTAAACGTACTCAAAAAAAAAATATATATATCGCATCTAAAATAGTACAGTAGAAGCCGTTATTTAGGTTAAGACTTAATCCTTTACTCTGGGCTATGATGAATCAATCAGTCAGTCAGTCAGGACAAGTAATTTTATATATTTACATAATGGTTTCTTTAGACAATTAGATGATTTTTTTATGGGCTCTTGCATTGGTCCAAAACTCGCTGAACTGTGCATGATTAACATTGACAATATTATCCATAAACTTCAGGGTATAATGTTCTACAACTGTTATGTTGACGACTGCTTTGTTGTTTATAACAAACAATTAACCAACCCTCAAATCATACTCCAATATGCCAACAATATCCAAAAAACTATATGTTTTGAAATAGAAAATGAAAATAACAACAAAATTTTTTAGAAATCACTATAGTAAGAAACAATAATTTCATCACCTTTAAAAAATATATAAAACCCTGTGAAGTCAGTAAAGTAATCAATTACTACTCCAGCACACCTGTGTATATTAAAAAGAACATATTCAATATGCATGTCAACAAAATCAAAACACGTACTATTACATAGGTAAAACTGACAGAGCGTTAAAAATCCGTATAAAAGAACATATAAGAGTGGTGAAGTATGATTACACCAAGTCAGCGGTCGCCAATTATTGCAACAAAGCTGGCTGCGAGATCTCACTCGACAGCATCAGAATTCTTAAAAAAGAAAAATATATTATTAAAAGAAAATTTTATGAACACATTGAAATCATTAAAACAAATGAAATGCACAAAATGAACCTAAATACAGGTGCAGTCAGCAATGACATCTGGCAACCATTCCTAACTAAGTAGCAAAACCCATTAAAATGTACTACCTCCCTCCATCGTATTACACTGGGCAAGTCAACACACCAAACATTCAGTGAATATTTACATTTTTTTAACCTCTCCTATCTGGTCTATGTTTTTTTTACATTTAATCGGAATTATTTCGCATCAAGTTTACCCACTTTATATTCTAGCACATACTGTTCTAATGTGTATAAGGGTGGAATTAAAAGTATTTTAGCTCCATTCACCACTTTTTTTTGTCTTCTCACGAGTCGTGTTGTCGTAACTGTCACTATAATCTCAGGAAATTATATTTTATTGTATAAACCTGTGTACGCATATCCTGAATATTTCAATACAATTGGTAAATCTATAACTCTGTAATTATTTTGCTGATAAATCTGTTATAATAGGACTGAAGAGGGGTATTAAGCCCGAAATGCATATACTTTCCTATCAATAAACCGAACTTTTTCCACTAAAAGTGTTCCTGTCTCATTTGTTCTCAACAGCAACCTTATGATAAGAAAATACATATAATAAAGAGCACAGCAAGCAACCAATATCCAACAAACATGGTTTAAAACTTAAATTGGAGCAAATTAGTACTACGGAAGTGCATTTTTTTTAGAAATTGGCATTTTATTGAAGAATGGTTCCTTAAACCCGAAGGTATACATCACAATCATCGTTATACATCCCTTCAACCTCCAATGATTCACATACCTATAAGCTTTCAGAGTTTAGAGCACTAGTTAGAAAGGCATAGGAAGTTCCTTTTCCCACCTCATGGCTTTACTTTATCCGCCATCATGGATTTACTTGAGGAGAATTTTATTCGTTCGAAAAGGAACACATTTTATAATACTCTGTAAGCATTCACATTGGCTCAAAGTAAGAAAGTTAAATTTTTAAGATCTGACTCATTGTCTATCATCGCCCACATCCCTCGTTTATATTGACTTCATTTCAATTGTCTTTTTCATTTTTGTCCCACCCTTTTGGGAACCTTATAAACGCATTTTTCTATAATAAAAATGTTCATATTGTTATAAACTTAAATCAGTGTTTCTCAACCTCTAACGAACCGTCACCCCCTTCAACGTAGTATCGCCCCATCAATAAAACCGTTATGTAGTACTGCCCCCTTCACTACAAAATTACGATGCTGAGGGCCAAGGCTAACGCCAAATTCTTACTGTATTGAATAGACTAGTGACTAGTATAATGTTTTTTGTTTAATTATTGTACGATATAACAAATAAAATATCTAATTATTCTTAATATAATGTTTTACTATATTGCCCAGAAAATTGTTTTCGTCCCCCCCAAAATATAAATTGTTACTAATCGCCCCTCAACATGAAAAAATGGCCACATCGCGGCAATATCGCACCCG